GGTCAGTTTACCATTAAATGTCCAAAATTGCCCTTCAGTCACGTCTTGAACTTATTATTTTGGGTGCTAAAAGTTCCAAAACGGCATAGTATTGGCTAAAACACTTCCTATGGGTCTAAAACATTCATAAAATACCGAACAGTCTTAAGCCTGCTCTATAGTTATTTTCTTAATTTTTTTTACATATATATAGAAATTCATATATAATACAATAATACCCCCAAAAATTATTTTAGTTTTTAAAATTCTCTTTAATTTTTTCTTATTTTCCTCTTTATCTTTAAATTCTTTTAATTTTCTTAAAAAGGTAAAAATTTTCCTTGGTCAATCACACACTCTAATTTTTTTTTCTTTCCAAAGTTATTTCATTCTTCTTTCATTTTTCTTCTTCTATTACAGTTACTACCTAAAATTCTTCTTCTTCTTTTTCTTATTTTCTTTATTTTTTTATTTTTTGCATTACGCCCCCCCTAAATTGAAATTCTGGCTCCGCCCTTTTTTGGTAGACAAACTATTTTTCTCCATCTTATATTTTCTTAATTCTTGAGATACTATTACACATAAACAATAGTATTTTATATTAAGACAATGAACCTCTCTAACGTAAGAGAAGTCTTACATAAAATTTAGTAGTTGAGATTAAATTGATAAATGAAACTTAATAAAAATGACGTAATCTTATTCACTGAATTCTATGCAAAACCTTTCGTGTGTTGGAGGGAAATTTTGTCCTTCTCAAATGATGAAGGAAGTTTCTTAGCAACTACTTTCACAATGCCGAAGCCCACCCAAGTAGCAAACACAATAAATGCAGTGATGAATTTATATTTTCAATAACAGGAAAAAAAAAAAAAAAAAAGTAGGCTCGTTTGACTAATTGAACAAAGAGGGATGCTAGGAAGTCTCGATCTCTCACATAAATAAGGCTGCGTATCAATACGGGGGTTGAAAGTTTATTTTAATTAACTACGTATATATTTGTTGTGTTTGACGTTGCATGATCAAAATATAAAGAATGTACTGTATCTAACATATTTGTCAACAGAAGAATGAAAAAAATAAAAATAAATGTTAAAATTATGTATTTTTCATACATATTAATTAAATTAATCAACCCACACTCTCATCCTGTCTCTTCATTTTGATATTTCAGGAAAGTGACACAATGCTCTCAATCCAACTAACAACATTATCAACTCAGTATCATAAATCAAAAAATATAATGTGTGTGTGTGTGACTAAAGGAAGCATTTGATACATGTACATTATTCTCTCTCTTAATAAGTGGAATAACTCTCACATGAGGTACACAGCAGTCACACTGGACATTTTTGGCACCCAGTACTATGCATTCAAATATGCTGACCTACATGAGGTAGCCCTCCATGTGCTTCCAAGATCATATTGTTTGACCCACATATATATATATATATATATATATATATATATATAGTCACACACACACTATATATGTGTGTGTATATATATATATATATGTATATATCGTTCCTCTTCATTTATTCATTTACATAAAAACTAGCACTAAATGCAATGCAAGTTGAAGTTCTACTCCGCTACAATTGTAAGTTGTCAAGCTAAGAACGTAATCAGTGGCACGTGACCAAACACTGACTAGACATTGATTTATGAATTCAATCCAATGATATTCATTGAATGTTCCTTAGGCTGTGTTTGTTTGGATTGGATTAAGCAATCCCAATCCGTTTAATTTCAGATTATTGATTGGTGGTTCTGCATATATATTCTCTCACTAGGATAGCATGTCATCCAAACAACTCACTATGAAATTAAACAAGCACGCAATTAATGGATGGATAAAGGATAGGAAGATTGATGGAAAAATAATCCACAGAAATGATTAATACTAATTCGAATATATTTATGTTATGTCTGGGAGTATCCACGATTTGAATTCAGAATTAAAAAAAAAAAATAGTTAAATTATTAATTAAATTTCTTCTAATTTTAAAGTACCCATTCTATTCTCCTAAACACAATATTAATCTCGAAATCTTTATTAGTTCATTTTAATCTTCAATTATTGAGTTCTTAATAGGATTTAAACCACCACCTTCCACATAAAGAAGATACGGTCAACTAAAACCCTTAGTGGAGAGGGTTTGTATCTATTGCCGGAAATGGAATGTTAATTAGTAATATATAAATTAATATATTTAAAGAAAAAAAAATTAAGGGCTTACTTGATTTGTAATTTCGAGAATAATTTTTTTGAAAATAGGGAACTGTACAAAAAACTCTGATCGGTAAGAAGAGTTGTGACGAAAAGTTCGAAAGATGTTAGACAACATATCCGATTAAATTTACGTGAGTCAGCACACAAAAAGTATTCTATTTAATTAAACATTAAATCCTACACTATCCCAAACATGGCCTTATCATCCCAAAATAATTAAGTACTTTGTTACATAAGGGGTGTATGTATGTGTGTGTGTGTGTATATATATATATATATATGTATATGCGCGCGCGCGCGCACATTATTAGTGGAAGCATTGGGGGCATATATGGGGAAGTGGAACACAAAATTGGAAGTGTGTCTTGGCTTGATTTGATTAGTAGTTCGTTCTTATCCAAACAAGTCTTTCCCAAAAGGGGGAGGTAATGGGGATAGGGATGGGATAGTGTCTGTGTCGGCCCGTTTTTGGTGAGGAGGTAGGGTCTTGTTTGGTTGTGGTGGTTGGGACCATTTACTCACGTGTTGCACCATTTGTCTTTCTTCTTTGTTAATACTGTTCCCTATCTGTTTGACTTTTCTCATTTCACCCCTTGTTTGGTCACACGTCTAGGATTTTCCTTTCCTTCCACACCCTTGGAACTATTCTCTCCATTCAAATGTCCGTGACCATTTCTAAATCACGAGTATAAAATAAGATAAACTCAAGATGAAAATTTTAATTAGGGTTTTGAGAAATAGCATGATAACCTATGGTAATTGTGATTTGCCACACGGGCTACGTACAAGTTGTCTGTTTTTTAGACAATGACATCTTTGGTGAGAATTGTCATTCAAATAAAGCTTTAAATAGTTTGAAAAGATGAAATTGTTCCTTAATATTAAAATCAATTTTATTTTAAAGTAACAGACAAGTTGAATGTCAAAATTACCCTTTAATTAATACGAACCACAAAATGGCATCAATTTATTGTGTTAAACTTCATTATTTTCTCCAAGGTACTCTAATATTTGGATTGTTATGAAATTTTTACCAAAGGTTCCTCTATCTGTCTAGTTACTCTTTGAAAATTTTCGTAATTTTTTGGCTAAACAAATATTTTTATAAAAATTAGACAACAACTACTGTCTAGAATTTTTCACTTTTTGAAATAAGATTTTTAATTTATTTATTTGACAACCTTTTGGATATCGGATAATCACCAAAATATTCAATTTTATACTTCCATGAGTCAGCTTTCGAAAACATTTTCGTTTGCTCCGTTTCAATTTCAAACGAATTATTTTATTCACTGCTGTACAAATTTTTCTTTTAACTCAGCACTTCAATTTTTTTACATCAAATGTCCATGAGGGGTGTTTTTGTCAATTTTTTTAAACTTCAGGGGATATCATTTGTCATTGACAAGAAAGTCACTGATTTATTTGCTCCTATTAAAATATATGTAAGAAGGATGCGTGGATGTTTTTTTTTTTTTTTTTTGGAGCACTTCTTTTCAATGTATTACCAGATTAAAAAAAAAAAGAAAAAAAAGTGGAAATATGATGGATATTTGTACTTAAGAGTGATATTTGGTTAAAAAGTAAAGATGAAAAATTACTAATGGTAGTCTAATTAATGGTTTTTTGATTTTTCAACTTCATAAATAAAAGATGGAGAGCTTAAACTAAAAATAAATAAAAATAAATAAAGGGTTCAAAATTTAGCCTTCCATCACTAAAAGCTATCCACGGGGAAGACACTTTTATATTTGTTACTAGTATTTTATACATAATGACTTGCACTCTAAAACTCGTCTTTTTTTTTTAGCGTCGCACAAGTTTAAGCTTAAACAACCCTAAACTTGCAACTATTAGATTTCATAACGTACTCCAACCTAAAATATGAAGAAAAAATAAATAAATGAAATAAAAAAGGTAAATACGTAAATAATATTATATGAAAAAAAATAAATAAATAAAATAAAAATACTGCCATTGGTCGAGAGTAAGACAGATCTATGTTTAGTATTACTTATTTTACAAAAGTGGTTAATTACCTTGGTCGCTTCAGAGACACCACCACCATAACTCGAATGATTCAAAACTAAGCTTGTAACTAGTAAATGTACCATACAACCTAGCCAAATTTTTAATAATTAAATTTTGAATAATGATTTTGGAGTTGAATTATGCAGAAATCCCATTTATGTAAGTGGATAGTGGGCTACACTCCAAGATGTCATGGTCCATTTATGAGTGTGGGGATAGACCCTCATCGTATGATGTCATGACATCCTGTAGTAAGGCTCACTGTTCCTTCGCATAAATAGCACCCCACTCACATCTCAGATGTCATGACATCTCGTAGTAAGGCCCACCACTCCACTCATATATATTGAATTAATTGTGTCCATAAATTACTGCACTTAAATTTTTTTATCTGTAAAAAACAAAAAGAATAAATAGGGAAAAGGGTTAAAAAAAAAAAAAATTAAAAAAGAAAAATCCCCTCTACATCACTACACGTGTGTAATGTGTTGTGGTAGGTATGACCACAAGGAGAAAAGAAACAAAGGAAAAGGAGAAAAAAATAGTAAATTAAAGAACTCTCTCTCTCTTTCACATACACACACACACACACTCACTCTCTCTCTCTTTCTCTCTCTCACACACACACATTATTCTTGATAGGGGGTTCAAACTCTACTCGAAAACGAACATATTGCAGTAGATCTTTCACTTCATTCAGTCTATACCTTTACTGCAAGTATATCATCATATGCATAAAGGACCTGAAAATAAGGACACTTGATTTTGTCTATGAGCAACTCCAAAATTATCTGATATATGTTGATACTCATACAAGTAGTTCCTTTTAAGACCCAACATATAGATATAGGAGCACCCAAACCATAGTTTTACAACAGAATATAACTATATCATATATTTAAGGGGAAGAGAGTGACAACATGATGGCCAATTATCTCTAAACAAAGCCAACAACAACAGTACAATACATACATATATAGTCCCTCCCTAACCCCCACCCCCACCCCCACCCCCGAACTCTTATTCCCGAACTCTCGATGCAAAACCTTTATAGTTAAATTTTTAACCTGTTCTTTCCGATGTTGGTCTCCTAGAAGATAGACCGGAATTAATGTCGCCGGACCATCCTAGTTTCTCGGAGTCAGACTTCCCTACTACTACTGCTACTTGCTAATTTTCTACGCTCTTTATTTCTGTCAGAGTTCAAAAAAGGAACACTTCCGTAGCCTACCAAATCCTCCATTTTGCTGATCCTGCGGGGTTGTCCAGACTGAAGATCATGACGGTCCACGGCTGATTTAGCAACGAGCAAGTCATTTGTCTCGGCATATTCCGAATCATATCGGTCCAAGTCAGCAAGGGGTGAATGCCTTGAGTACAAGGGAGAGGGAGAGGAAGAGGAAGAGGATGAGGAAGTGTCGGAGTCTGAAGAATTCCTACAAGGGCTGTTCCAATTATGTCCAAAATCACCAACTATCTGATCCAGAAAGTCGTCAGCGCCAGTAGAACCCCTGGTGCTCTCAGTACTGGAGGAACCTTCCTCAGACAAACTGAACGAGGAAGAATTGTCACTTGAAGAATCCTCTTCAAAGATCTTTCGGATCCGCTGCAAACTAATGTGATCCAAATAGAACGGTTCTTTGGCAGCCTGACCATTTAAAGGAAGCACAGAAGGTTGGGATCTTAAATTAAATGTAGGATTCTTTATTTTCCTTGGATCACGAGGTACTATTGAATTCCTTATCAACTTTGGGGCCCGGGGTGAGCACCTACAAGAAAATTGAATTAGTCAGACATCCAACTAACAAGATAACCCCCAACCCAAAAAGTAAAGCTCCTCGTATATGTTACCTTGCGTACAGAAGCATGTATGCCCCTTTTGTCAAGACACTTTCAGGTTCCACAGCTTTTACCTAACCCAACCATCACTATATCAGCTCAAAAGCTTTGAGAAATTGAAGTGGTTGAAGTGTTTCAGTCACTCAATATATGCAGCACACAATGAAATTAGAGTATAAGTTACCTAGCCAGTGTTTAATTACAACAATCGTGGCAAGTGTAATGGTAGATGGTTACAGGTCCTAACAATCATTCAAGGCCTAACAAACCACCATCATGAGCCTATACACACATGACCTCAAATTTATAACCTTCCCTCTGAAAAAGGATTTGTAAATTAATTCATAGCTTTGAAAAATGGAAAAACGCCAAATACCCAGGCATTGGTGAAGGGAGTATGCGAAACCTAGCTTTCGGCATAGTTTGCAGATACAAGTTTTTATTAGACTTCAACCTGCATTTTCTAGGCCATCCAAGTTTTTACCAACGGCCTCTCTACAAAATGGAAGCTACACACACATAATCACCAAGGGACAGACATTTCATCTAATAAATTATAAAGAATAGAACATAGCACCAGGGGCACCCAACCCAAATAAGACCTTTATTTTAAGAGTACATACAAAAATACCGAGATTCCTTTAAAGCTAAAATGAGTGTCTTGCCGGTAATAAGAAAACAGGACTCCCATTGTTGTTCAGGGAATTCCTAGACTTCCCTTAATACCGTAAAAAAGAAGCAAAAGCCAAAAACTCCCAAGGAAAAATGCATAAAATTAAAGAAACATGCAAAATTGTAAATGCTTAAAATTGCGTACCGACAGTAAAAAAGCACGTACCGTACTATCGTCAATCTTGAACCACTTGTTCTGAAAGTTTTTAACATAGCACACATAGTGACCAGAATATGCAGCATTCATAATATCCAAGTGAACCACCACACCATAAAGCCTATAGATTGGCGATTTATCACTTGACCCACTCACATATGGAGCCAGGTTCAAAATTTCTGGGAACTGGATGGCCTTGTTGAGCTTGCCAAATTTACCTGACTGTAAAATCATGAAAAGTAAAGCAAGCAATAAGAATCCAAAAACACCACGGAGATTAGAACATGATCCTCAATTTAGGAGAGTTACCTGAAATCGCTTCAATGCAATTGTAAGGACATTCGGAGCCTCCAATACTGTCAACTTCTTTTTGGCTTTCTCATAGGATTTGCATCTGATAATAAAGATAATACATTATCCAAAGGTCTAACATGCAATAGATTTTTATCCTTTTTTTTTTGGTAAGTAAAATGAATGGACATCTTGAATTATTTATCAAAAAAAAAAAAAAAAAAATGGACATCTTAAACAACTTTGTCTTGACTAACTCAAATACAATGAAGAAACAATATTGTACAATACAGGCTTGAACAACTGTCTAAATTTAACCAACAGAGTTGATATAAAATATTTAATGGGTTTGTGCATCACTTGTGAGCAGCCGAATAAGACAACATGAAAAACCAGTTTTTTGTTAGGTTCATGCACAAAACTAAAATTGAAAACAAATACAGGGCTAACCAACACGCCTTTTAAAAGGCCATTACCAATTGACAGTTTGCCTACACAGAGGATAGGAGGCAAAGATCAGAGAGGGACCTAAACTTTGATATTATTTTGCACAAAATGACTAAATGCGCATTGGCTAACACTAGTGGACAGGTAAGGACCCTATGAACTGGTTATGCAGTGTAAACTTGCACATGAACCACCACATACAAATTTGAAAAGAATGCCCATTTGATGCCTCAATAAAAGTGAAAATTTTTCCCAAGTGTATTGCTCAGAAAGTTATCTAGCCAGAAGGTGTACATCATCATATTGTCACCTTGTTATAATATGAGTCATATGACAATAATACCAAAACAAGCTCTCAAGAGATGTTAAAACCATATATATATATATATATATAACAACCTGCTGCAATGGTACTTGTTTTCACCATCCAGAATCTCAGTACCCGTATACTTTCTTAGAGCCTCTTCTAGGGTTCCTATATCTCCTCCTATCTCAACAGTGAGATCCATCATCTTTTCATGCCGCTCAGATTTGCCTCCACATTTCATGCATTTTATCTGCGATGACAGTAATGAATCCACATGCATAATTCATGTCCGCGCTACAGACTCTTCTCAAAATATGTCCATAAGTTTCAAGCAATTGTTAAGTTACACTACATATATATAAAGAGAGAGAGAGAAGGAAATAAAGGTCTGAACCTTAACTATCCCTCAAAGACCATAGATTACCTTCGATCGAAGATAGCCCCCAAATGTAAGGCCTATGAGGGTTGTTTCTTCTTCCAAAGAGCCTGATGCTTTTACCCCGGCTTCCTTAAGGCAAACAGATTGCATTGTCTCAATGGCATACCTGTTGATTTCACTCCTTAATTGACTTGAACTACCAAATTCTTGATGAAAAATTAAAGCCAAAACGCAAAATTTCAAATCAGGCTCCAAAATTGAAAAAATAGATCATGTCACCTCAGAAATTCATGCGCATCTTCTTCTCTCCCGTTACCAAGTTGACTTCCAATGTTTTGTAGCTGGGATAGTATCCCTATAGGAGAGAGTGGAGAACTCCCTTCCTTTGCTTTAAGAATTAGATTTTCAAGTTCACAAGTGAAGCACCATCCTTTCTTTTCACCTGATATAAAACAAAAAAATGAAGTTAATATAACAGGAATGAGACTAAAAAAATTGTTGCATGATGAACCCATAAGAGAGATAATGATAAGAAACATACATGCTTTGGAATGGAGCCCTTGGAGAAAATAAGCAGTGAGAGGTGGAGTAAATGCCAAGCACTGGAGCACAGAATTAGCATAACAGCTGCACAAGATCATATTTTAAAACAACAAACACATCAGGGAAAGGAAGATCTTTATTATTGGCTGATTGCAAAAGACATTGAAGTATATAAAAAACCATGATATTAAAACCCTTCTAAATTCAAGATGTAGTTTTGAATGTTCAAACACAAATAAGGATTTAATGTTAGATTTCCGATAGAAAAATATTAAGAGGGATGAATTATATGATGTCGCATTTTTTTCCCCTAGTTGGTAGTCATGCACCCCCACTCCAAGGAATTGTTTGCACCCAAGAGGAGTTGAACCTTAGACCTGATGCTTCTTAAGGTACCTGGGCCAAGTGACTTACCCACTTGAGCCAACCCCTTGGGGTTTTATATGAGGTCATGTAGACATGCTGTAGATCTACTGGATATAAGTGATACAAAAAAAATTCTTTTGGGAGCCCTCCCCTCTTGAGCAACTTTTATGAAATATTACTTGTCGAAAAAAAAAATTAGTGATGCAAAAATTGAGTCTCCGCTACTTGATTGCCGAGGTAAAACGATGGGGCAATGTAAACAATTGTCATCATGACAATAATACGAGTATAGAAAAACACGCAATACTCATTAAAATGCTCCAATGAGCAGACACAATCACATAAAGAAACATGTGTACAGATAATCAGGGTCACAAACAAGGTTATAAACATGTGTATAGGTGCAAATCTGCATGTGTACACGAGTAAATTTATCTATTTTGTGCATATACAATTAATATGTTTGCACTTGATTCTGACCGGATTAAATTAAACTAGAGCATATATCAAACGAATTATGTTCCTTGGGGGAGTTGGCACAACATAGTCCTGTACTACGACATCAACAAATGAGTCTTGGTGTAACCTGAATCATACAAATGTTCCTTGAAGTCATCTATTCGCTTTGCGACATCAACAAATTTTCTTATTTTTGTAGTTCCAAAAAATTGCTAGAGGACAGGACTTAAATGTTTATGCAGCAATGATTTGCTGAAATTGATATGTGCAAATGAGTCTTGGTGTAACCTGAATCATACAGCGGGACTGCTAAATGACTAAAATTTCCTGGAAGTGGGAGGCTTGAAAGCGTCCATGCATATATGTGTACACATAGAGGCATTGGAGATCCATGGGTAACTCAAAACCCTAATCCGTTCTCTTCTCCTTAAAGGGTCATACAGTCATTTACCCCTAGTGTGATCCCATTAATTGCGGGTGTTGGGAGGAGTGGACTGGATACAAACCTAGTGTAACAATGGTCATTTGCCCCACGTCGGATCCGGATGGGAAAGTGATTGGACATAAATGGGTGGATTGCAGCACTACTCAACAGCTTGAGCTTTTGGGTAAATGGGCAAGCGTCTATCCGTTACAGTTGGTATCAGAGTCAAAGACCCAGTTCTTAATCCGGTGTCACGCCAATCACCCGGCCCGGAGGGCGTCCGGGTTTTCATCCCGGGTAGGCAGGGTGGTCCAACCGCAACAAGGTGTTGCGTGAGTTTGAGTGGGGGAGAATGTAACAAAGGTCATTTGTCCCACATCGGATCCGGTTGGGAAAGTAATTAGGTAAAAATGGATGGGTATGTAGCACTACCCAACAACTTGAGCTTTTGGGTAAATGGGCAAGCACCCACCGGTTACACCTAGCCTTTAACATTATTTGCATAAAGTAGTTTCTCCTAAGATTCGAACTCACGTTTTCACACTTTGACAGCCAGAGCATTATTTCATAGCATTTTCTTTCTCCTCCTCCTCCGTCGTATTTTTCTTCTACCAACAACAAAAACCTTACAAATTTAACCTTGATAAGAGTTTTAAAAAAAAAATCAAAAAATAAAATTAAAAAAAAAATAATCAAAATAAAGAGATGTTGGATCACGAGGTAAAAACTAAAGATTCTCTACATCACTAAGGCTATGTTTGATACAATGGGAACAAAAAGAAATGATAACATTAGTTATGAGGGAAAAGAAAGGGAATGATAATAATCATGTTTGGAAAAAGAAAGGAAAAGAAAGTATTTTAATAAATTTACTATTATACCCTTTTATATTTTAAAAGATAAATTTATATATTTAACTATATAATTTATAGGCCCATGATGCCACCACGAAAAAATATATATTTTTAGGGCAAATCATTTCAGCCTCCCCAATCGCCTCCATCTCTATTCGCGTTCTCACTGAACTTGCCCCCTCTCTCTGCAACTGCAAACTACAATAATGAAAAGTTCAAAACCCATATATTTAAGTTTATCTATCTATCTGCAAGAATCAAAAGTTCAAAACCTATTAGCTATATCAAAACCCATATTGGCTTATCATTTTAGATTGTTCAAAAATCAAAACCCATATCTTTCAGTTTCCATCGCCCACTGTTCCAGTTTGGGTTCACCATTCGCAAGCTTCAGCTGTCTCTCAACTCTCAAGCTTGCCCCCCTCTCTCTCTCTGCAACTGCTAACTTGTGTGTATGGTTTTTGTTTTAAATTTTTTTCTAAATCAACTAATCAAGGTCAGTAATTCTTGTTTCGCAAACCAAAATCAAGTTTTGTGTAAGAGTAAATTTGGCAACACAAATAATACATCAAGCCTCACCTTCACTTTCCTTCCATTTCCTCCCATTTTTTGGGAGGATAAGGAAGTTACTGTTTAAGCCTATTGATAACCTTCCAAAACCTTCCCCTTCCTTCCAACCATTTTTGCCAAACACAATTTTTTAATCACCCTCCATCACCTTTCCTTTCCTCCCTTTTCCATTGCACCAAACTGACCCTAAGAACTTGGGACGGGAAAGAGATGAAGACATAATCAAAGATCCTGGTTTTCAATCCGCGAATTCAGTTAAACCTTCTACGAATTGGTGACCTCTCCAAGCTTGAAGACCCAATTCGTTATTGGAGCGGCACCCCGTATGGAAGGATTACGTGACTTAGGATGTGACTTCAGAAAAAAGTGGCCAAATAGACAAATAACAGTTTAAAGTTGCTGCTGACCAGCTGTTAGCTTACAGCATCTGGACAACCCCTGACACACATAATGTTTATTAATTAAAGTGGAGATGGGAACAATTGCAAAAAATACATCCATATTTTAATAATTAAGGCAGAGCTATTAATGAGCATAAACAACACAAAGAAAGTCTCACAAATATTAGACAGGGTTACCATAAATTCATAACTTCTAAGAATAAATCTAAATTACCTGTTCCCACAATTTATGAGGCCGCATGGGCGCAATTCAGCCTTATTTGTATAGAGTTTGACAAACACTTCGTAAGGAAACAGCCCCTGAAAACAAAGGCATTCAGTGCATTGTATTGCATCTCTCTCTCACACACACACACATAATGTTTATAGGTGCACAAGCAAAACCTTATTATTGTATCTTCGAACAATCTCACCCCCAACCCCTGACGGATGGTGACTAGACGATTTGGAGGATCTGAACTGTTCAACAACTTTCATTGATGTCTTCGTACCATTATTAGCCATTGGTGCAAAATGGATGGGATTAGCAGCAGGAGCGTCAGCACTATCAACTTTTCTAGATTTTTGACTTGAAACTGAACGCCTTCCATCTTTAGCACCACTCGTGCCATTAACCACGTGATTTGACCTTTCAGTGCTCAAGGATCGCAAGCTACTGGCATTTGAAGCATCTGTACTTATTGAATGCCTTCCAGAGTCAGAAGCTGAATGGGCATAAGACGGACTAGATGGGAAACTTCTTCGTTCTCTGCACTTCAATACACGTGAATCGCTGCTAGAATCGAAACCTACATGTTTAGACACCTCAGAGCTCAACGACGGTAAACTTGTCGTCTTTGAGTTGTCCTTGCATATTTCCTCTGATATAGCAGCCCCATCAATAGGCTTCTTGATTCCCAAAGTAGTTGCACGAGAGTCATCTGATAGAATTTGTTTGGTATCAGAGCCTTGTACATGCAGAGGAGGAACTGCATCTCTCACCAAGTTAAAGGATAAACGCAGAGAAGATTGGAACGGTTTCGCATCACTGACCTTAATGGAACTGGACTGAGCAGAATCTTCAAGATCATCTTTGGACCCACTGGAGTCAATTGTTCCTTCCCAGAAACCAGAAGAGGGAGTAGAAGAAGAACTTGTTGATCTACACGCAGAATCTCCATCATTACAATCGGCTTTGATCTGATTTGACTTACCCGAACTATTAAAACTATCTAAAGTATTGACCAGAGTGGGGTGCTTTGTAGATGATTGTTTAATTTGATCCATGTTTCTAGAACAAGCAGTCTCAAGCTTATCAGGGACAATATTACTGGAATTATGTCCACCCAATCTCTCAGGAGGATGTGAACTACTGACTCTATGGACTGCAACATCGGCAGAGGATTCAGAAGAGGTAGTGCGCATGGAAAATCCCTCAGACAATGAGGAAGTGGTAAATTTAGAAGCAGAACTATTTCCTTTTCCATCTGCAATACACTCAGTTCTGGTGTCATCCTTCCCACAGAAAACTTCAGGATCACTACTGGAATTCGAAATTGCAGGCTCTTCAGGAAACTTTTCAACTGGTTTAGCACACTGCTTCCCTTCAGGCTCAAAGCTATTACCATGAATTTCGAATTCCTCTTGATTGATTGTGTTCTCAGTAGAACAGCCTACATCATTGATCTGGTCAGTGGTGGCAAAAGGACGACATTCTTCCTTGTGACCTTGCCTCCAGTGAATTATCTGGCACTTACCAGAGCTGAAACATTCGAATTTGATGTGAATAAATGCAAATGTATACTCTAGAGGCCCAAACACAGTAAAACATTGAAGCGTCAAATATGAAATGTGCAAGTTTGCAGGTAAGAGATCCAGATCACATTACACATAACCAAGCAATTCAACTTCCACAGCCATGGTCTAAGACTCTAACCACAAGCAATTCAACTTCCACAGCTATGGTCTAAGCACAAGCAATCGCAAAATGATAATACTAACAATGTAATCTTATTTTAAAGGTGGGAAGTTTTCACATCTTAATATAGCTCTATTCAAAAATAAAATTACAGAAAGGGTTAACTACATCCAGTTTAGATATTGGTTAATTGATCAGTTTCAATACACACACACACACCAAAAAAACAAATAATAATAACAATAAAAAACCTGCATATAGGACTATATAACTTTGACTCGTCCCCAAAAATTTCCAAAGCACACAAAATGCATGTGAAGATTACACAAAAGTCATCAAAAGAGCATAATGAGCAAGAATCAGCTAGGACAATCATAAGGGCACCTAATGTGCTGAGAAGTAGGCACGGTGTCCCAAGTGGTATCTCCAATGGAGATGTTAGTATATGGCAATAGCAATAAAAAATTATAAGGAAGGTAGGAGGGATAAAGAGAGATCTCCTGGGGAAAAAATGATCTTTTCCTCTTTTTCTAAGGAGAGAAAGAAGGAGAATAGTTTTGCGTGATATTACCATTACACATTTATATACTAAAGGAATCATTTCCAAGGGCCGAAACTTCCCTTCTTTTTTTTTTTTTTTTTTTTTTTTTTTTTTTTGAGGGAAGCCTTTCCCTCATCTTCTCTCCCACTTTTTTGGGGAATGCATAGGGCTGGTCTGCATCCTCTATTCCTTCCTGTTTTGTTTCCACCAAGTCATGGAAATTATGTAACTCCCTCTTCTTTTCTTTCCTTCTAACAAATGGGCAATAAGCGAGATTAAGACATGGTTGTTAAAACGTCAAACCAAATCTTACAATTCTACGATATTAGAATTCAAAAATATTGAGTCAAATCCTGATCCCACAAAAAATCCCATGAGGGTGTATCCATGTGAAATTCTTGTAGAACCATAAGAATAATGGCATCCCAATTCAACTCCTATTCTATTGATCCTTATATATATATATAAACACACACGCGCGCACATATAAATAATAACATATGGTGTCCCCACACCATTCAGGGGCGGGGCTTATACCTTTGGATACCCATAATCACCCACAAACCACAGGTATTGGATAAACCCAGCGAGGAGGTATTTGATGCCTCCCGAAGTTGAATGCAAGACCCAGAGATTTGTCAAAAAAAGAAAAAAAATACAAGACCCATAGGTTTTATGCCAACTTAGCTTTTAGCTATCTTGTGGGGGTTTTATTCTACTGATCCTACTATACAATAGAATGTTATACTTTATGTTCTTTCTTGATAAGTTAGGACCGGAGACCAAGACCCACTCAAATGTCCTAAAAAGTGCAATTATATCAAAATATTTTTATGTTCTTTTTTTATAAGTACCCAGACCAAGACCCAATTAAACGTACTAAAAAGGGCAATTATATCAAATTTTTCTTCTTATTTTGAATATGCAATAATTCTTCTAGTCTGCTTTGTAGCAGTCAACTACTTTAATAGCTGCTATAGGTAACTTAATTCCTCATTTTGACAAGTATGAATTCAACTTATTTTCCTTTCCTTATCTTCATTTATTTATTACTTTTTTTGTTGGTTTTGCTATGATATATAACAAAGAAGTGGACAAAATTTTGCTTTAAAAAACATTATTTCAAACCATTGACGACTCTCTCTCTCTCTCTCTCTCTCTCTCTCTCTCTCTATTAAACTAAATAATTTATTTCAAGCTAATTAATCTTATATTTACACAAATCCTTAATGCCCATTTTTGTCCTTTTTCCTAATAACTCCCATATAGCTCGCTGACAAGTTGTTCTCATCGTCATCATCATCTAGAAAGCATGTAGAGTGAAACATGGCCGGAAGGAGATGTGTTTTACATGACTAAAAGTGTCATATGATCAAAATATCATTTTTTACGTGGACACGACGGGGACAGGTTTGGGAAACTTTTAGTACTTGGCAGAGTGGCTTTGTAATTATTTTAAAACAAATGGAATTTCAATGTAGTTTTAGAACATATTATGCGTTAATTAGAAAATAATATGAAGTTTTAGAAAACAAAAACAATATCTATCCAACTCTTAAATTATAAATTAGTGATTACATTTATGATAAATAAAGAAAAAATAAGCAATTTTTTTATATACAACTATATATATATATATATATATATATATATATATACACACGCGCGCGTATCCCTGACATGTCCTATTCTTTTTAAATTTGTACTAAGAAGCACGGATACGAAAATGGGACACGGATACGACATGACACGGACTTGGTGACAAAAATTGTAAAAGATGAACACCATGGGGGCACAACCAATACATATATCTTTTTATATATATGATCCTAAATTTTAAGAGTGATACTATTTTCATTGACCTAACAATTAAAAATTAACAAATTATAATAATTAGTGAGCTATAAAAATAATTTAATTTATCGTTTAAAGAACTAAACAATTGGATTGACTCCGCAACAATAACAATAATTATTTTTTAAACAAAAAATTTGAAATATTTTATATTATGACCATCATATTATTAAGAAGGTTAAGAGAAGTCATTACACCTTTAACTCGTTTAAAAAAATTAAATAAAAACACTTTCTTAATGCTTCGTTTGGTAGGAAAGAAAAAATTTAGATGGAAGGGAGAGAAGAAGGGATGGATGATACATCCCAAAAGAAAAAATTGTCTACTTCCCTCTTTTTGTTCAGTTGGATGGAAGAGAGAATAAGCTAGTAAATGTGTTCATTAAGAGAGAAGGGAAGAGAGAATAAGCTAGTAAATGCATTCGTTAAGAGAAAAGGGAAGAGAGAGTTTTAAATTGTCTTTACTATTATACCCATCACTACATATAATATTATAATTGATAGAGGATAGTATTCTAATTTAAAACTTGTATAATTTAGGATAGTATTGTAATTCAAAACTCCTATAATACCCCCACTTGTCTTTCCTCCTCTCTTCCGCCCATATTTGGAGGGATGAAAAGTTGTGAAAGTGGAAGGATGACTCATCCCTCCTATTATCCTTTCTCTTCTTGTCTCCTCTCTACCGAACTAAGGAAGTTTGTTCATTCCTTCCTCTCTTCCCTCCACACTTTTTCCTTCCTTCCTACCAAATAAAGCATAAAACTCCTTAGCCATGCAACACACATGTTGTACATGTGTCCTTGCCGTGTCTGTGTCGTGCTTCTTAGATAATCATCCTTGACTCAATCCCATACGCATGGGGTAAGCCACATGAATTCTCTTTTTCTACTATTTCCTATTACAAGTTATCTCTCCTACAATATTTAGCATTTTAAAATCATTTACAAAACTCTTATCCCATGTTAATTTTGGTCTCCCTCTCTATTTCCTACCTTCTATGGAAATTAGTCTTCCTCTTCTTACAAGATCATTTTAATTTTTTTTTTTTTTTTTTCATATGCAAGTTGAAAATTTTCAAGCAACAAATATATAGGTAAAATGAGAGTTCTTTAACTTTTGTCATCTTGTTTCTACATCTAAAATAGAAATATGCTAACATAGTTAATGTTTATATAAATGAAATGTTTTTACAGCAATAAAATTTTCACTTGTTACTTTGTTAACGTGCTCAAAATTATTCAGGAAGCTTTTGGAAGTTTACGCATTCCAGATATTTGTTTCATTTTTATTTTCACAGAGCTTTAGGTTTATTCATGTTATATTTTTCAAATTTTTTAGGAAGCACGGTAGGTATTACCTTAATTTTCCTCATCTTGTAGAATCTGGTGATCTTTTATTGGATCCAATGACCCAATTTCAATACATTTGTTACACGAAGAATTTGAAAAATGTTGACAATACAAAAAAAAAGGGAAAAAAATATGCAACAAACTAAATAGGGGTTTGCTAAAGCTAAAGTTAAACAGAGGATGTACAACTCTAACTAAAAAAAACGATATAATGGATTTATGACAAGTAAGCTCTTGAGCATTTTGGGAAACAGAATAACTTTGCCCAAAAGTAAGAAACTGACACCATATCACACAAACTTCTCATCAAAACAACCAGCCATCCACCATATCACTTCCCATTTTCATCTAAATGTCTCTTAAACATCTTATTCTAATGCATTAATATGTTTCTCTTACCTGATAGATTCTTTCATCTTTAAAATTTAAATTATTTATATAATCCTCTTTCAGCTAAAGGCCATGCAGAATATTATTATCTCATAATTTGCTTAGAGATGCATCTTTCCCCCTTGTAAGAAAGAATAGTAATTTTAATAATGAAACAGATCACTCATTAATGAAATAATTCTACCGCAAGTGTAGTTTCTTTCAAAACAAGTCATCAAACTGACAAGCAGCAACACCAGTATTGAAAAGGATCAATCCAATGGAAACCAAACTATAAGAAACTATATCAATATCCTCTATCCTGAGAGGCCTTGCAACCCTCATCCTGAGTGTGGTTTTATATAACAAAAAGGAGTTCCATTTGAAGCATCAACACAAATTATTCATTCAACATGTTATCTACTATTTTGAGGAAGCAACATGTCCCATAGCCTTAATACGCCTGTTAGACAATTGTAGCGGCCAACCCAAGATTGAAAACTACTAATTATGGTCAAAAGTTGAAACTGAATAGGATTTTAAAAATAAGACTGTTCCCTTTTGATTAAAAGATTCTATTAACAAAATTCAGCAATATCGCTGCTCAATGTGTCTGGACGTTGTGTGCTATTGACGGATATAATAAAAATGGCAGCCCCTTATATTCACTATTCATTGCCATATAGATGAGAGGTGGAAAGATAGCTCCTAAGTGCTGATGTGATCTGCATCAAATTAGCATAAGTTAACCAAAGTGCCATCCCGTCCACGACCTATACATTCAAACTGATACCCCGAGAAACAAATTAAGTTTACTCTATATTGCCGCTGCATTTTAACATTGCTTCACTTTTTTCTCATCCAAATACCTTTTGTGACTCTTTGTATGTGGAAGATGTTGTATTATAGACTGCATATCGTTAATACTTATAGGACAAACTGTCTATATGACTGGCTTAAACTGGTCATGTGGCAGTGTGTTTGTTACACTTTGAAAAGTAAAAGGATACCTCTCCCATTCGGACTCACAGTATGCTATGTTCTGTTGAATAGAAGAGAAAAGAAAAAACTAATAATTTACTATGTTCATTAATGCCCTATTCGGTAGGAAGGAAAAAAATTGAATAGAAGGGTGAGAAGAAAGGATGACTGAGACTTCCCTAGGGAAGTGATTAAGTGTTTCCCTCTTTTTGTTCGGTTTGATGGAAGAGAATGGAAAAAAGAAAAAAAAAAAAAAAAACTGTATTTATCAAAAAAAAAAAAAGAGAATGGAAAAACTGACAATTTAATTTGATCGTTTAATTTGATTGGTAGGATAAAAGGAAAGATAAATTTTTAACTTGTTTTCACCATTAAACCCATTCTTTACTTTACTTATGAGATTTATTAAATATTTATGAAGGGTGATGTAGTAACTTAATACTTCTATAATAGGCTCACTTGCTTCTCTCCTATCTTCCGCCCATATTTAGGTGGATGAAAATTTGTGGAGGAAGGATGAGTCATCCTTCCTATTATCCTTTCTTTCCTTATATCATCTCTACCGAACAAATGAAATTTATCCATTCCTTCATATTTTCCTTCCACCCCTCTTCTTTCCTTCCTACCAAACCTAGCATAAAAGAGAAGAAAAGAGAAAGTTTTAATTACTTTTACCATTAATAATATTTATAATGTTGTAATCTACTGAGGAAAGAATTGTAATTTAAAATTTGTATAATTTTAGAATAGTATTTAATTTAAAACTTCTAAAATAGTCCACTTGTTTTTCCTCCTTTCTTCCTCCCATTTTTTGGCGGATGAAAATTTGTAAAGTCATCCTTCCTCTTTTCCTTTCTTTCCTTGTATCAACTCTAACGTTCTTTCCATCCTATTTTCTCTCCACACGTCTTCCTTCCTTTCTACCACCGAACATCGCATAAGGAACATAATATATACCCTTCCTCAATTTTTTCACCCATTTTTTAGCCCAAATCTTTCCTTGTTTTACTCCAAAAGATATGCTGGTATAAAAAAAAAAACATACTTTTTATGTAATTGACTACCAAGAAAAGGATCAGACTCCATTCTCTATACTGTTTTAGCTGATGCCCTTTTCCATCAAATTCTACAATCTCATCGACTCTCCTAAATAAGATATCAATTACCAAATATCAATGTGTCCGCAGCACGCAAATTTATAATATCAAAACACATGCAGACAAAGTTCCTCTCAAGATCAAAACATGCTCCAATTACAGAGTCAAACTATATATGATCAGTAAAGAAAACATGAAATAGCCGAATACCTACCAGTACCGAACAGCTTTACACCGTGCACACCGCGTAGAGGTGGGGCAAAAACAAACGGCACACTGATACAGTACCTGCCGGGAAACAGCCGGTGCATCGCTTATGTACCCATAGGAGGCCTCGAGCTCAGCCCTAGCTGCCTCCTCCGACGCCAAGACCAAAAGCCTCTTGATCTCCTCCGTCCTGGCCGCCGCAATCCTCCATTTCCGACGGACCACGAAGCCGATCACCACCGGAGCAAACAACGCAACCACCAGGACCCGGCACAGAAACCCTAAATCCCTTCCCACAAGCATTTATCCCCTATGCATCCGGCACAGTGAAACCCTAACTTCACAAACATAGATTCTCCGGTGACGATCACGGTAACGGCGGCTACCACGGCCCAAACTGCTCATGCAGGCGATCAAGCTCAGATCAGAGACGTTGTATCACTGCAAATGCGTTGATGATTGTCTCATCGTGACGAAAATAGACGGTCACTGTGGCCGCGACGATAGCGATATTATATATATATATATATATATATATATGAGAAAATTGTACACAGATTTTTCACAGAACTTATCTTGGACCAGAAATAAAAGTCACTAGCTATGACGATGTTAGTCTCACTTCTAGATTCCGACCCTAAATTTTTTCAGATCGAGATTTTGGGGCTTTTTTAAGAGAGAAAGTGCACAAAGTAGAGGTTGAAAGACGAGAAAAATAAATAGATAGAATGAATAATTACTTATTACTAATAGCTTCTCATTCAAAATGTAATATTATGCTGTTTATATATTCAATATAGAAAACGTACTTTTATATATATATAGAGAGAGAAATTTGTATTGTACGTTAAAACGAAGACATATGACGGTTGGAGGAAAGGAATTTTGTTTTCTAGTATTGGAAAGTGTGAATGCTTCGCTCATTAAATATTCGGACCGGCCGTATGGTGGCAAAGACTTGAACCGGATGGTTGGACCGGGGTCGGGTTTTTATTCTTGACGGTTTCTGACCAATGTGTCCATTGTGAAAGTAACTGAAATGGTTGGTTGACTGATAGGGCATGTGATGTGAAATGGCTGGATGTGAGATCGGACGGTGGGGGTGGGTCGATGGCTGTGATATGATCGATAAGAGCTTGGCTCACTCACAACTTCCAATATAGTAACTATGTGACAATATGAACCATTGAGCAAGCAAACAATTGTTGTTTTGACAATAGAGAGCTCGAATTCTCGAATTAATTATTAATTAATGGTCAATTAAATAAATAAGAGTAAGAAGAATTCACGGTAGTACTTTTCTTTGTAATATTTTTTCTTGGTTATGTAATGACTTTTATTTGGTTGGATGAACTTTTTTTTTTTTATAAGGGAAACTATTAGAATTGTCTGCTAATAACAACAATAGAGGGTAGTTAGGTTAACAGCAGAGGGTTGTGAGTCTTGCGACTAATTGTCGTTATAATGGGTCTATTATGCATATTGTTTTCTTTGTATTAATTATTCACCTATATATAAAATATTTTTTTACATTCAAGTAATGTGGGAATAAATACATGTAGCTTGTTTAATGTGGTAGGTTGTTTGCGTCTCACACGTGCCTACGCACACCACCCCACATAAGTCGACACACACCGTATAATATCTTAAGTTTTTTTGTCAACCTGTGGAATATCCAACTTGGTATAGTTAGTATTAGAGCTACACCAATCTTTGATTCGGTGCCACTCCAACTGTTTGATTCAAAAGCATTCGGGTAAGCCCCCAGATAGGTAGTGACTCAATCACACAATGAGAATATTGTGAGTTTGATTGGGAGAAAATGTTACAAAGGTCTTATTCCACATCGTATCTGTATGATTCGAATGAAAAGTGAAATGAGTATCTATGAATTGAGTATTAGCACCATCTAATAGTTTAAATTTTTTAATCAGACCGCAAAGCATCCGCCCCATCATACTAAGGCACTGTGATGTATATTTGTATGTGCTTTAATCACAACCTTCATTTTTGTATTGAATGGATCAAGAATTTAACAACCAACATATATAATTGATTGTAAAATGAATGGTGTGGACTAAGCACGCGTGATGAAAACAAATATTTCCTATTAACTTTTGGATAGGTCAATTGTTGGATGCATTAGTTTCTAATTGTAATTTAAAAATATATATACGTGGATAGGTCTATTTTTGGATGCATTAGTTTCTAATTGTAATTTAAAATCTATACATATATAATTAACTTGTTGCCCAAGTCCTACATTTTTCATTGCAGCTTGAAGGCGACACCAATTAGTATATGCATATAGTGATGGAAAAAAAAACGCACGCACAAGGATGACAATGACCAAGTTATATATGTACACACCCGCGCGTGTGTTCGGTTTTGGGTGGGGGTTATCATCTCATGGAGATAATTGTGAGGGGCAAATAAATAAGATTTTATAATTGTATGAAACAAATTATTCATGATTTTATTACGTCATGTCAACTTGTATTATTTTATATGAAACAATTTATTTATGATTTTATTATGTCATGTCAACTTGTATTATTTTATGTTTATAATTAATAAAAATAACTATCCAAAAAAGAAATTTTAAGTGCAATTTGATTTGGGTTCAGTGCAAAATAGTTCCTATGTAAGGTAAAACACCCATGTTAATTTAGTGCAAATAGCCACCTGAAAACTTAAAATGATTATAATACTCTCATTTCAATATAATAAATTAATAAATATAAATACATGTCATGTAAAATGATCATTTGTCCAATTTATGAAAATAAATTAATTCCCGTTCTACCCTTGTTGAGCCACAGTACACCAGAACTACTCGTTATAGCTCGGAGGCTCACCGGTGAGAACTGGGTTTTGTCAAACTAGAATCTTGCAAAACTTCTCGACTGGTTGCAAAACTAGAATCGTGCCACTTTTTGTAGCCAAACAAGGATCATTGTTCCTAAATGAGTAACTAACCCGCAACATCCACAGAGAACATAGAGGTCACACAATGGGGACGACCATGGGGAAACAAAGCTGGTGGCAAGCAAGTAGCGACTGTAATAGTCGCAATTCCGGCAACAGCAGTAAGAAACAGAGAGCAAGGATCCGACGGCGATGCAAGCACTGAATTTAGCGAGAATAGGCCGATAAGCAATGATAAACTGCGATAAAAGAGCTTACCGGCGAGGACAAATCGCGGCATGGAGAACAATGAAGAATCTGTTGAAAAAATAATGTATCATATACTATAGTATAATTTATTTAAATATTATTTGTAAATATAATATTTATTATAATAATCTATATATATATTTATATAGTTTAATATCAAGAAAATAAAACTATAAAAGAACCTGATAAAGTCGAGGCTAGAATTTAAGTCTATAGCCTTAAGACAGATACGCCCCGCTACGGTGCTAACGGATTCTTCGGCGTCTATCTCCCAGGATACAACGACTTTTCTTCCTTTGGTAGTAGCACTTCAAACCAATGGAATAGGCGAACCGGCTCGGTGTAGTACTCTCTGTTGAACTCAGACTCGGAGACCAGGATTAAACCCTAACTCGGAGACCAAGATTGAACCCAAACTTGGAAACCAAAGTTCGAACCCAATCCAAACCAGTTTAGGTTGAACCCAAACCAGTAGCTGAACCGAACAAAGAAGAATTAGAAGAAGAAATTCAGAAGAAGAAAAGAAGATTTCTGAATTGGTGTGAATTGAAATGAACCCAATGATGGGTATTTATAGGCTTGTTGGTGCCTATTCTGAATGGGTGCACCCATAGTCCGAATGGGTGCAACCATTGTTAACCAATCCAAATTAAAATCTGTTGGTGGTTTTTAATTTGTAAAGGGTGCAACCCTTGGTTAAAAAAAAAAACAGTTTTTGATTTGAATTTAAACCCAAAACAGATTAAGCCCAGCAAGCAAACTTCGGCAGCCCAGCCCAGCGTGCTCCACCAGCAAGCCCACTTAAATAAGTCCAGTAAATAAAATAACCACACAGGCCCAGTCCAACTTTGTGTAAACAGGTTAGACCCATTTTACAATTAAGCCCCGCCCCGCCCAAGCCCGGACCGGACCGGGCGGCGCGCGCGTGTGTGGTAGTTGGTTCTGATCCAGGCTAGCCTAGGTCCTCCCCCTCTTAAAAACTTGGGTGCCCTTGGGCCCAAACCCAAATCCCATACTAGACATATATATACTCAAGGTTGCTTTGTTACTTTTTCGATGTGGGACAAGCATTTCCCACTTTATTCACACCCATTTAGGCTTTATAAATCATTTACTTTGGAGCCAATTTCTCATTCACCCGGAAACGGATTTGAGAAAATAAATATACCACGTTCATCTCCTCGCAGAGAGGAACGCGCTCGTCAATAGATTCGCAAAAAATTCTTAGCGGAATCTTTTAAAAATCCTTCCAAAGTTTGCGTTTTCTAATGCCGTTTCCAACAATCCCCCACAAGAATGAAAATTTGCGCAGATTACAAAAGGAGAAGATACAGACACTATAGAGAGTACTATTGGAAAGTTACTGCATCGGGATAGGTAGCTTTTGGCCTTGAACCTTCCCTAGTGTATTACTATCGGATTTACTGGCTAACCAGTGAACATTATGTCTTGAACTGTTCAGCCGTTGATGTAAACCAAGACAATAGAAAACACACAATTCCTTCCCACACAAAGTCGGTTCTCACGGTTGTGTTCATATGGCCCTGAACAACGCCTGGTATTTCATGAGCGCTCCAGAAAACTTAGCCTTAGAAGTTCTCATAGAAGCGGCCCCACTTCACACTCATATAGGTGACTTCTTATTAAGAGTATCCTACCATACCCCACTTGAATTTTCAAGGTATAAGAGTCATTAAAAGCATAGCTTATCCTACTCATCGCTGTAGGTAACACTGTCTCATCATAGAAATGGGTAGAAGATTGAATCTTCCCAGTGCTTCTGGTGAGCCATTCAGAATTTCTGTTGTCCCTTTGAACCTAGATCTTGGGATCTCCAGTCAACTAGGTTGGGTTTCCATTAAGATGACTCGTTAGCTTTCGGCTTTAAACTCATTCCCCTCGATGAACTATATACTTGCTCTCTTATTAAACCTTTTGTAAACAGATCCGCTAAATTATCTTTTGACCTGATATAATCTATTGAGATTATCCCACTTGAGAGCAATTGTCTAACGGTATTATGTCGTCGACGTATATGTCGAGACTTACCGTTGTACATATTACTTTGTGCCCTTCCAATTGCTGATTGACTATCACAATGTATACATATAGCGGGCACCGGTTTAGGCCAATTTGGAATATCTTCTAAGAAATTATGAAGCCACTCAGCTTCTTCACCTGCTTTATCCAAAGCAATAAATTCAGATTCCATAGTGGATCTGGCAATACAAGTTTGTTTTGAAGATTTCCAAGATATGGCACCTCCTCCAATAGTGAAGACATAGCCACTTGTGGATTTAGAATCCTTTGTATCTGATATCCAATTAGCATCACTATATCCTTCAAGTACTGCTGGATATCTAGAATAATGTAATCCATAACTTATAGTATATTTTAAATACCTTAGAACCCTAATTATTGCAGTCCAATGGTTCTTTCCTGGATTACTAGTATATCTACTCAATTTATTAACTAAGTATGCTATGTCTGGTCGTGTGCAATTCGTCAAATACATTAAGCTTCCTATAATGCGAGAATACTCAAGTTGTGATATGCTAGGACCAGTATTTTTCGATAAATGAAGATTTACATCAACAGGAGTCTTTACAAGACTACTATCCCCTTTATTAAAC